ACAAGCGCCTCCGATTTTAACCGTGACACTTGAATTCCAGAAAATGACCCATTGCATCAATAAGACAAGCGCTAAGAAAAATAATAGAATAGAGAGAGAGAGAGAGAGAGAGAGAGAGAGAGTCTTAATTGAACTTTAATGGTGTGGTTGTGTGCCATCACGGCCAATTGCAAGTACCAACTCATGGCTTCTGTCCATCGAGAGAGAGAGGTTGCCTCAATTTGACTCTGAAGGAATACACCCATAATAACCCATTTTTGTCGGTGATGTTTCTCTCTCTCTCTCTCTCTCTCTCTCCTGTTTGTTTCTCTTTACAAAATGAGAAATGAGAATGAGAATTTCTGGGTAATTCATTTATTTAGGAGGGCAATTTGATAATTGTAAATTTTAAGAAAATCATATTTCTGTCATATTGTTATGTTTGTCTAGTGTATGGTCTATGAATATCCAAAAACCCTATTTTGGTCCAAGATTAAGAAAATAGGTCATTTTTGTCTATTTCCCTTAAATTTATGTCTAATCAAAGCTTTAAGCTTTAATAAAAAAAATTGTGAGTATGGCTCTTTGCATATGTTGCATTGTGGAGCAATGGTCCTATTTGGTAATACCGTTAAAATTTCATCCAAAATAAAAGGAGCAATAAACAATGGAAGTTTCCGTGGTCCTACCTAAAAAGACCATTGTTGTATGTTATGACAAGTGCAATGACCAATACTTACCAACTTTTAGTTTGGAGATGAGAATTCCAGAGTTAAAGTTTGGGAGTAATGCTCCTAATTATCTAAATTACATGTTAATAGAATTTTTTTTGTCAACTAAAAGAGGGTGAAAAGACGATTTAGTTTTCTATCACAAAAAAAAAAAGGGCCAGTAATGTAATTTTTCTAAACCTACATGTGATTTTAGCATATATCTAATATTAAAAAAAAAAAAACCTCTCACGTTCTCTTTCTCGCCCTCTCTCTTTATTTTAAAAACAAAAGTTAAAATATTCACACACACAAAGTGTTAGGCATATACTAGTCTTTTAAGAAATGTAATTTGGTAGCATAAAAACCAAACAAAAGAACTATTTCATCAATCAGTTTAAGTAGCTTACGTGGACTGGATTGGATTTTGAACCTGCCTAATTAACCTTCTTCAAATCTTAGATTAACAAACTGATAACCATAACATCATTAAATATTTGGAAGACAATTGAAAGTTACTAGTTATTTATCCCAACTTAATATGTATGTTACCTAAAAGTTGTGACAATTTCTTATTTGATAAGAATAAATAAGGTTGAGATTTGAAATTAGACATGAACAAGTAAAATACTACTACATGATTTGGAATAGAGAACTTGGATCGTTGTTGTCTCTATCTAAAGAATAGCAGCTTCAAAACGGATTAATGATTTGTATCTAAACTAGTGATCGATGGCATGCGCCAATTTGCATGCATGTACTGCAGGAGTGTTGCAGTTGGAGGAGAGATTTTTTAGTGTGACTGGAATATAAAATAGTACATCACGTGTTACTATACCAATGGTGAAATATGTGTTCTAACATGTAATAACTTAAAACATACAATTTTCCACCACTTATATAAAAACACGTGGTGTTCCACCCATGTTCCTGTCACAACGAAAAATTTCACCAGTTGGAGGAGGGAGCAAGGCAATTTGCTCGTGCGGCGAAAGATGGAAATATGCTATCACTAAGACCGACGGACCTGATGCTGGCAAGGCTTACTACAATTGTGGTGAAAGTTGCACCTGCGTCATGTATGCCAGCCATCACCACCATATACGTGTATAACTTGATTTTGTTGTGGGAGTACTGATATTGATTACATTCTAATTACTGCCTAATTCTTTTTTGACGCCAGCGGTGGAGATGTGATGGTGAAGGAGCAAGAGAAACTCGGTCCAAGCGAATCATACTGTGAATGCGGTGAAGGCTGGAGTAGTGTAGTCACCAAATTGAAGACCCAGATGCTGGAAAGGCCTTCGTTGAATGTGCTGATGGTTGCACCGCTGTGACTAAAGCCTAAAACTATGGCTTCTATTTCTAGTTCTAGGGGATTACTGGCTCATATAGCGTTGTGTGTGATTTCGAACAACGGAAGCGAATTGTTAGATTATATCTCGCTCCGTTACATATTAATTAGCTGTTCGATTATCCTTTTTTTCGTGTTTCTGTCGTGGTTTGTTTACAAATAAATGACTACATACCGGTACCCTCGACGTCATCGTCTTTTATAGAAACATGTAAAGTGATGATATGTTTTCAAAGCATCTATATTGTCATAGCATGTTCATGTGAAAATTCAATAATTTAAATACAATGAAGTGGAGCAATTTCATTTACAAGGTACGTACCCCATCTCTTAATTCATTCTCGCCAATTCAAATGTGCAATTTTTGTTTATTTATTTATTTTTTCAAAATTAGCCAAAACCCAGCATTCTTAATGGAAATTGGGGAAACCCCATTTGATTTTGCAGCCAGGAAAGAATGCAGCTGTACAGAAAGGTAAGTTTTTGTAACACGTTCTATTTTTTTTTTTTTTTTCAATTTTTGGGGAACAATGTATCAATACTGATGCATTGTTGGTGTACTTTAGGGCAGTGCAGATGAGTTGAATAGGGGGTATTTTGCTGATATGTCAGAGTTTAAGATGCATCGTGGGAAGATAAGGAAGCACTACTATTATCCCGTGAAAATTTGTTACTTTTTAAATGTGTTTTTGCATCCATAGTTTATTTTTGAGTTTAGGATGATCAACCCGGTATACATTCTTTTGCTTAATTTGGATTTTAATCTTAGTTTCTGTGTGTAGATTCTGTGGCAAATAAAATCATAGTTCCTGCAACGTCAGCTGTAAAATTTCCTGAGTTTGAAGTGAACTACTCTGATGGAAAAAACCTGAAGCTGCCCGTTAGCTCCAATGGGAATGGAAATGTCACCGAACCCTAATTGGAAATTCCCAAGCATCCTTAGTATGCCCTTCATTTTAAGCAAGCTCCAGGCATGTAGTCGAGATTATGTTTCATTCTTCTCCATTTTCCATGTTGTTTTATGTGATGATGATGGTTTGTCTTGAATCTTCGTCTTTCTCCTTTGAGTTTCTGGTATCGGTACGCTCAACATCATTTGGATGACAAACCTGTCAATGTGTTTAGCATGGCATGAATGTCAACTCTTCTAATATGCTTTGCTTTATATCGTCTGGTTATTGTGTGGGGGAAGACAAATGGGATTTAATATCCTATTAGATAGTGCGAGACATTCTGGCCATTTCTGTACACAAAGTAGCTTCAGTCTGCATTTAACACTGGTGGTAGGATTACCAGCCCAGTAGTCGACTTCATTCAAGCACGGTGGACGCTCTCATGTGTGCTCGAAACCGGTTGTGGAGTCAGATGCGAAGTATGCTTATATATATATATGTGTGTGTGTGTGTGTGTGTGTGTCTTATTAATTTACCTAACCTAATTTTAATTTTAATTTATTGAACCAAATTCAAACTCTACAACTCAAGTTGAAGATTTCGTATTTACTCATGATACTGATGTGAATGTGGTAAAAATTAATCTTTATTTTTGCTTTTTATTTTGGGGTTATTGGTGATTAATTGGGATATTAATTCAATTTATACATTTTTTTTGTAGGCCTCTTTTGGTGACAAGTCTTTGTGATTGAACGTGCTTAAGCATTAGAGTGTTTAAAAGTGTACTAAGATTAAAATCCAAATTAAGCAAAAGAATGTATACCGGGTTGATCATCCTAAACTACATTGAAAAGTCTCTCGTTTGAGAGAGAGGGATCTGACCTGACAGATAGCTCGGGTGCGGTGCTCTGAGTCGCCATGATCACCCGACTTAAGTGTTAAGATATATACTCCTTTCTTGCTGAGGAGCGTCTTCGTCTGAACTAAACGATCGACATATATAGCTCATGACGATATAATAATGGTTACAGTATTAGAATTGTCCATAAACAGGGAAATTTTCATGTTCCTGATTAGGCTCAACTCAAAAATATGGAAATCCAGATACTTCTTTTGTAATTTCTTTTGCCACTTTGTCATCATATCATTTTTTTGGATTCCAATTGTCTCAACTCATACAATGACACGTGATGTTGAAGATTTGATTGCATTTTATCCTTCAAATTGTTTAGGGAATTTTAACGAAAAGCTCATGGTACTGTTCACTTCTAATGAAAAATCACATTTTTACACTAAAAAATTAATCATATTACTATTCATTTTACCCTTTATTTTGTCTTTATCATTAAAACTCAAAGTTTTTAAGCCTTTTTAATTAGTCTTCCTTATTGGTTTAGGTAACTGTAACTAAAAACTCATGGTACTGTTCACTTTAACGAAAATGTTCTAAAAATCAATCTAGACGCCACCTGGACACTAAACAGTGAGGACCAATGCGATTTAGGAAACGCGAAGACAAATCGGGTAAGGGCTTAGACGGGCTAAGCGGTTCCATCATTTTTAACTTTTTTAATTAAGTTTAAAGTTTTTCTGAATAACCTGCTTAATTAGTGAATTTTCAAATTTAGTTTTTGGTTTTTCTTATTTTTTTTGTTGCATTTGTGTGATGGCAACATGACTTAAATTTTACATTTTAACTTTCCTAAATTCTCGATACAAGTATAGTTTTTATTTTTTAGTGTAAGTAAGCACTTAATTATATGTTATATAATAAATTTAATTAAATCCATCTAGTCCGCTACACCCCGCCTAATCGCCTAGGCGCTAGATCCCAGTTGACCGCCCGACTAGCGGCTAACGTCTTTTAGAACCTTCAAGATGGACAATCATTACAATTGACTCTTCCGTTTTGGTTGAGTCACATTATAAAAGTCAATACTCTCGTCTGGTATCAAGAATTGAATTCGATTAGATAAGTCTTCAGATTCACTGATAGGTATGTTCGAAAGAAGAAATTGATGTTAAATAACAAATTTTAGTGCAGGTTGGAAGGTTCAAGAAGGATTAGCCATGAAGGAAGTTTATCAAACAGAAAACCCCATTAACAGAAATTTCAAACACGAAACGAGTGCGGTACTTTATCAATCAGGAAACCCCATCAACAGAAATTTCAAAAGAAGTAGAGAACCTGCTACTAAGCAATTATTTGAGGACACAAACCAAAAACATTCAACACTACCAGAGACTGGGATTCCTATGCTGCATCTTCCTTCTTTCCAATCCCATGTGACAAGTTGTAGATCCCTCGTGCCTGGAGAAAACGCCATCGAACATCGCAATTAGATTGCAACAGAAACAAGGGAAAAAACGTTTTTTTTTTTTTTTTCAATATAAAAGGCTTACAAAGTCTTAGAAGAAGTGAAGTAATTAGAAACTCACAATAAGGAACAATGAAGTAGCAGCTAAAGCAGCTGGAATGGCAACAGAGGTAATCTTATCATACGGTCCCTTCAGGTATGTGTGCTTGTGGATGCTTTGGAACATCTTTTGCTTCTCATAGAGCTTCTCGCGTGGTCGGAAGGGTGGTTCTGACATCCTGTATTACAGACATTATTAAAAGGTCGTTCTATGAAAGTAAATCCAAAAACTATATTTCTCCAAAAGCAGAAAAACCTCATTGTTCTATAGGTAGAGGTTCCAACAAAAATGCACCACCCAAATATCCCGTGAATAAGCACCATAAACCTGATAAGGGTAGCACAGGGCCTCAATTTCTGGACGCCCATTAGACCAGACACTAATCCTTCCATAGTCCATTGAAAAGAAAAAAGGTTTAGGGGCAGTTTACCAAATTTGGTAATTATGGTCATAATCGGACTTAATCAACAAACGAAATCTGCCGAAAACCAGCAGTTAGCTTCTTCTAATGTTGGAGGTTTAACTAAAAAATGATTCTGCAGACTAACAACCAGAACTTATATACACGCATTGGTGACAACAATACTTGTCTACCATACGATCACTTCAAATGAGTTACAACCACAAACAACCTGGACTCTATTATATAAGACGACCAAGTGGAACTGTAACCACTACCCCCAATAGAACTCAGTAACAATAGTTCAACATAGAACATCTCAGCAAAACAAGGCTCTAATGTCAAAAACAATACCACGCCAGCAGGGATCATACCAAGGAAGCTAATAAATCCCCGTCAGCCCACATACTGGAAAACTGAATTGATCATTTATGAAATTTCAGGTTCTATGCCTGAGGCGTTCACAATTTCAATTACACTATCTTATCCCATCTCTTACCCAATTACGCGCCGCCAAACCCAAATTAAAACTGAAGATTTTAGCCCCTTTCCCTATACATAAATCATAAAAGCATAAAAGCAGTAGCCTGCACACTGAAATTCTACAAACTGCACTTCCCCCTCAATTCCAAACCCTAAAACATAAATCTTTCTCAACGGTCAAATTATCAACAGACAGTATCAATCATTTGCCCTAAACCCAATCTTCATGAAACATTGAATCCATGATTGAAAACCCACATCATGACTGAATCAATGAAATCATTTAAAAAATTCACCCCTCCAACAAAAAAAAATGGAAATCCTAAATGGGCAATACGTAATCGGGTCAATAAACATAAACATAGCGATCAAATATCAAAGATAACGATTAATCAAAACAAAATAATTAGCAATGGAATTCAAAGGCAACAAAACCTAACCCTACATCTAAGTGTTTAAGCAGACGAGATTTGTGGGTGTTGGAATATTTGAATCGGAAATTGGAGATTGGGTGGAGGAAATCTTACGCGAAATTGGAAGTGACTGGAGGTGGAGACCAATCAGGTTTCGGAAAGCTGGCGAAACTGCGAGCGATAAAAAGATGGAGGAAGTGGAAAATGATACGGAAACTTCTAGTCCGATTGGGGTGGGGAATACTCCTCTTCGGTTATAATGGACTCTGATAGGATTAAAAGCACACCACAAAGTAGCACACTCATGTCATGTCCTATTGATTTTCCTTATTAACATTAAGATTTGTCAATTGTAGCATATGAAAATACGAGTCTTTTCTGCAGAAGATTGTTTTATCTAACTACCTAAAATATCACAAAAACTGGGTTGTTGTCCCTACTGAACAGCCGCCGAAAAATAATTATTAGACCAACTTACACTTATCTAAAGTCATACAAAAATACTAGACACACAGAGCTACACTCACACAAATTTTTGGGATTTTTGGAGTTGATTTGCTATTTAAATTAAATCGAACAAAAACGGAACAGAAACAGATTTTAAATAATAAAAATAAATTGTAGTTCACAAGCTAAGAAAACGAGTTAGGGGAATTGCTATCCACCACCAAATAATCATGCAAAAATGTTATGTTTCATTCAAATTCCTTCTATTTCCGGATGAAGATGCTCAAGTTGGCTCAATGTTAGAACTCAACCTATTACTTTTTTTTATGTGGTATGTTAAGAGAATGACGTTTTCAACTTAACTTAGTCCCTCACATTCAATCTAGAATGGTGTGTTCATAGATTTAACAAGTAGAAATCATTAAGAACGAAAAGAGTTTGAGTCATCACAAGGCATCGTAAGTACTAGTGTTGTCTTACTTATCCTAGAAATTGGTTCACATGTTAATCGCAATTAACAAGTACTACTTTAGAACATATGTAGGTCCTCATTCGATAAGGGCAGACACACACATATTCATAGCATTAGAATCCTAAATATGCTTACTAAGTATGCATCCGTAGAAAACATATAAAGAATTCGTCAATGAGACAAGTAGTGAAACAATTTTCATCCATTCATAAAAGTAATTCAAACGAAATGTCATAACAAACTTGCAATCATATTCGGGGCTTCAAAACAGCCCCTAACTACTAAAAATTTAGTTACACAATCATTAAGTTAAAACAAAAATAGACATGAGTTTGAGAAAATAGAACTGAAAGAAATCGACTGAGGCCTCTTCTTTCCTTCCTTCCCCAATGCTACTTTAAAACCAATTCTTACTGCATCATTTTCTTCTCTTTAACTCACCCACTAATAGTCATTTAGTGATGACAATAAGTGAGAGGAAATGTAAAACAATTCTAACTCCTTGGGTAGCCTTTATGTCAATTACTTCCTCTTAATCCTCATCTTTAATTCCATTTCCTCTGATATTTGAATAGGTGTCATCTAGTTTGTTCTTGATTGCATCAGTTTTGGCTACTAGATTTATTGGATTTATTGCTTTCAATGCTTTCTTGTCAGTTACAAACTGCTCAGCCTCCTGGGAACCTTTTAGTGTTAAAACGGTCATAACTTCTTCTAGAAAAATGAGATTAATAATCCGCGAAATGCTCCAGAAAATAGACATCCGTAGCTTTCCAAGCATATAAGGCTCATTCTCTAATTCATTCTGAGCTGTCCGAAACTTGCTTCCAAAGTCAGCTGACCTGCACAGGCAGTTTTAACGAATTTGTTACTTAAAATTCCACTTGTGTTATTTTTCTTTTCTTTACTTGACAAATCCTATAAAACACAAAAACAAAGTAAATAACTCAAAAATATAAGGAACTAACTAAGAAAAGACAAGTGAATTTGATATAAAATATATATAAAAATAAGCTCAGATCTGCTGTCCCCGGATTACCTCTGCCCAGCCTGCAACTTCCGTCTACTTTTGACACCTGTCCCTATTTAACCCGTTAACTTTTAGGGGTGTGCTATTCACACACTCATTTTTACTTCTCACATACCAATTATTAATTTCTGTCATTTGATCTTCTTTAATTCAATCGATCCGATAGCCGCAAATTAAGAAGGTGTGTATGAAGTAAAAAAGGTGTGTGGATAGCACATCCCAACTTTTATATGAGAGTTAAGTAGTAGACAAGAGACCAAGTGAACTTTTATCATTTACAGAGATAAATTCTAGAATGATGTACTTAGACCAGTCGAGATGGAGTCTTTTACGATATAGAATCCTTATTAAACCGTAAGAATTCTAGAAGATATTTAGGAGTAGATATTGCATTTTCTTAAAAGTGTAATTACTTTTGGTGCACTCCAATCCATATATTGTAGGAACTCCAAGAACATAGAAAAAATGACTGATTCCATACCCAATTAGGTTTATGTATCTTGAGACAAACATGGTCAATCTCAACGAAGTTGACAAACTTCTCTCCGAACAGAATGATGATTGTATCACTAGTCCATATGTGCATCTTTGTGACGAAAACTATTCAATCCATGATCGGAATTATGAGGTATTCGTGTCCCTACCCACCTTACTTTGGCTTTGGAAAATCATGCTCCCACAATGATATGGATGATCAAGTAACCTTTGTTTTCTAGGTCCTAGATGATCAAGTCAATATATATATATATATATATATATATATATATATATAATTTTGAGTCAATTTTTCAAGTGAATTGAGTGAATTATCTTCTCAAGTTTTATTAGCATGTTTTTGATAAAAACATCGTGCCAAAACATGGTGAAACATTTATTTCAAACAAAATAAACTTACAATAAAGGTCCAATACCTGTACACAAAGCAAAATGGGAGCTTCCAAACAAACCAGAAAAGCCCAACCAAACGTTGGGACCCAAGAAAACAGAAAACTAAAAACAACCGAGGGTTCGCTGCAACCATCGCAGCAACAATAGTGCATGTTGATCCGCACAAATCCCATCCCCCAACAGAACCTCGCCTTAGCAATCCCATCAACCAATTCCAATCTTCAGTTCAAGCACGACCACAGATAACAAAGAACCTACAACAAAGTGAAAGAAGCGCGTGGAAATCCACGAGTAACACTACCATCCAAGGCAGACAGCAAAGAGAAGGTGATGGTGTTTGGAACACCCGACCCATTGGAGGCACCATATCAGAACTCACCGACTCGACAAGCCGCAAAATGCAGCGAAATTTGACTAAAGATTAGAAATTAGAGGAAGGAAGATGAGATACACCAATGGGATGAGAAAAGGGTAAATCGAACCAGGAACCAGGGGAAAAAGCAGTGAAGGGGAGAAGAGAGGGAGACAAAGGCAAAAACAAAAGAACACCCACCAATCCCGACAACAGTTAGGATCGGTGGCAACGAACTTGAACACGATTGAGAACCACTCTCACACGAAAGGGTGAGAATCGCCCTCAAGGAGAGGGAAGGTCTCTCACACGGAGAGAAGATTCCAGAATTTTTTAAGTGCGACCATTACTCTCAAATATTTGGAGTAATTCTAAATTGGTCCAAACATTTTAAAATATTTCAATAGTTACGTATCATTCAAAAATTGAACATGTATTAGACCATCAATGTGAAGTAATGACCTAAATAATTATCATGGTAAATTTTCACTCCTTTTAAGCTAAACAAATTTAAAGTTTAACTTCGCTCAGAGGTTGTGAATTTAAAACTGTATAAATGACTTGTTAGTGAAAATAAACTTAAGTGTTTGTCTAGCCCGTCACTTAATATAATAGCATCATCAATTAATGGTAGTTACTCATCGGTTTACGTCGATGATCCAATGAGCATCTAATTTTTAAAACACTGGGTAGGTATTTGAATGCTTAAAAGATTGGGGAAATTAAGTGTAAATATCGAAACTTCTCACTTGCAAGTGAAAATGAATACAATTAGATTGTAGTTGGCGAGGGGGCGAATGACTTAACCTCGTAATAGACTAGCAATAATATGATTTAAATCATATTACTGACTACAGTTATTCGTATTTAACTAAATAAAAAATATAAGCCAGGAAAAAAATTCCTAAACCGGGTAGTTATCCAGTACTAGAATAAAAAAAGAGCATTTTCACCTTCTCCCCCCTTTTCTTCCTTCAAGCTCTGGCCAAGGCGCAACCTCACTAGCTACCTCTGCCCGGCGCTTCCTCATCCGGTTTCTGCAGAAAAAATGCCTTCAAAGGATAAAATCGCCTATTTTTACGACGGTACACACTCTCTCTCCTCCCTCCTATCCTAATCCCTTACTCCCACAAATCTCTCTCTCTCTTAATCCCTTTTGGGTTTTCTAGGATTGTGAAAAATTTGAGAAATTTAGTTTGATAACAACAATGGGTATCTGCAGGGGATGTGGGTAGCGTCTACTTTGGGCCGAACCACCCCATGAAACCGCACCGGCTATGTATGACCCATCATCTCGTCCTCTCCTATGATCTCCACAAAAAGATGGAAATTTATGTAAGTATCCAATACTTGTAAGTTTGTTCAATTTTTTGTGTCATTGGGTGTGCAAGTGTTGACTTCAAGCATTAATCTTTGTGTTGTTTATTCTGGTGTTCCCCAGCGGCCGCATAAGGCGTATCCGGTGGAGCTTGCGCAATTCCATTCAGCTGACTATGTTGAGTTTCTGCACAGGATTACGCCCGACACCCAGCACTTGTTCTCGAATGAAATGGCAAGATGTATGACTGTTTGTGGCATTGCTGTGTGTATATTGTTAATTTGTGCTTTTATATAGTGCATTGGTTGTTCTTTGTTATGAGCCTGAACATACAACAGTTGGTTAAGATGTGCTGGCATAGGTGTAGTAGAAAAATTTATCACGAGAAAGTGGTGTTCACTTCACTTACAGGATACTAAAAGAAAGAAATCATGGTCAACTAGCTAAGGTAGGGATTTTTCGGAACTTCTTGATAGGCATGGCTGAGTAGAAGTGGTTAGAGTCAAGATTAATAGGTGTTCTTTGACTGTATTTCTTTTTTCTGGCATGCTAAGTTTTACTTTTTAACAAGTCATTGAACTACAATATTAAGTTCTGCATCATTTTAAAACTTTTAGGGTGTGTTTGTTGCACCTCCTTAACTAGGACTAGCTTAAGTAGAACTACTGTCCCATGTGTGGTGAGGTAAGGATTAACAATTAATGAGCTTAGCTTGGGATCACTCCGACTCCAGACCTCCTTAACTGGTCTTACACAGTCCTGTGTGGAAGTGGAGGATTAGCTTGGACTACCAAAACCCATATCCCTTCCCTGTCTGCAATTTCACCGCGTCGTATGCTCGTCAGTTCGACGTTGTCATTCCCTGCCCCACCCTGATTGAGACACTGCTGCACCAAAAATTCCGATAAAAAAGTTCGTGATGAATCCGTCAAGAAATTCAGACAAAAAATTCCATCAGGATTAGTCACTTCCCACCCCTTTTCATCATTGGACACCGTCAAGAAATTCCAATCAAAAAGTTCAAAGCTCTTGTTGAAGCTCTGCCTTGGTAGCTTGACAACTCTGTCCTATTTCTGATGGGTGAGTGGGTCGGTGGGATGGCCAAAAAAGCAATTCCCATATGAAGATTGAGGACGATGATCAACTATTTCAGAACAAATTGTCAAATTCCCATCCGAGTTTCGCCAATTTTGGAGGAGAGAGGATAGAGATGGTGGTATTGCACTGGATGTGAGGTTCTTTATTTATTTAGTTTTTAAGTTTTTAGATTTTCATTTTTAAAGCAACAAATGTGAATTGAAAATGATAAAAAAAATTAATTTGGGCCCCAAAATCGGTCTATAGCCTAGTCTGGCACTGAACCAAATACTTCACTAATCTTATCTTGCTTAGTCCAAGCCAAGCCAGTCTAGCTTAGCTCCTGAAGCTAGTCTAGTCTAAGATAGTCAGGGGCACAAACACACCCTTAGAGCTTAGTGGTTACTTTTTCTGTTAGTAAATGTTGTAACTCATTTAATGTGAACCAGAATATTAAGAAAATTTTTTTTGTTTGGTGTTAATTAATGGTCAATGTTAATCAGTTTAATTTCAAGAAATTTTAATTGTTAGAAAGAAAGTAGCATTGACTGCCACAATTAGGTTCTTGGAGTCGCTATTGCAAATGGTTGTCAGAGTTTTCTTAGTTTTTTCTGTTTTTGAGGACGAACAAAAAACAACATAAAATTTCACTTGCTCTTCTCTTTGAGTACCACTCTTTAGCTTTCTGCATGAGTAGTTCAAACCTCTGACTTGGTTTACTGCAGTCCCTGCAATCTCTTTCCAATGTGCTCATGTGGTTTACTGATTCTTTTTGTTTATCTTTATGCCAGATAATCTTGGAGAAGATTGCCCTGTATTTGATAACTTATTTGAATTTTGTCAAATTTATGCTGGGGGAACAATAGGTAATTCTAGTTATCTGACGTCGGAAGTCTGGGTTGCAACTATTCTACCCTATCTGTTGATTGAACTTTTCTTGCAGATGCTGCACGTAGGTTGAACAATAAACTTTGTGATATTGCTATCAATTGGGCTGGTGGACTACACCATGCCAAAAAGTGTGAGGCATCCGGATTTTGTTATATCAATGACTTGGTCTTGGGGATCTTGGAGCTTCTAAAACATCATGCCCGAGTATTGTATATTGACATAGATGTGCATCATGGTGATGGTGTAGAAGAAGCTTTCTATTTTACTGATAGGTACATAGCTGTTCTTATAATAAATTTGGTTAAGGAATAGGATTATTGAATTATATGTAAATAAATGAAACTTACCTTACTGTTAGCAAAATTAGCTCAGGCGTTTATGAACATTTTGGTTGTGTTTGATATAAGCAAAATGATGATGCTATTTGTAAATATTTTCAACTTGCTAAATATTTGGTTGTGTTCAAAAGGGTGTTGATCATAAGAGTTGGAATTGTTGCTTGAGAAGATAACTTTGCATTCATGTATGTAATAAACTTATAGATGAATAGAATTAAAGTTTTAACATACTATTTTATGGATATGGTATTTAGAAATTTGGTCTAGTAATGAATTATTGAATTGTTGTATAGCTTAACTAGTTCTCTGTTCAGAAATATGTGATTCTATCATTCTAGCAATTTAGACATTACCAATGTTAACTAACTAATGCATACACCATGATTTATACAGTTTCTTACTCAGTTTCTGATGTTTTCCTTTTTTATGGTTACCTATATGTCATTTACTCACCAGGAATTGTATTCAATATAGCTATATATTTTCGTCTTGTTACCAATCCTATGATTCCAGACAAATTTAGAAGTTAATTTGACTAGAATTTTCCCTCCAATAGTGAATTTTTTACAAGTATTTGTTCAGTTACCAGGGTTTTTAATGTAGGTTTTGTAATTTTGTTGAACACGAATTGAATCAGGTGACTTTTTATTTACAGGGTGATGACTGTTAGCTTTCATAAGTTTGGGGATTTGTTTTTCCCAGGAACAGGTGATGTTAAGGTAACCTTTCAAACCATTTTGTTTAATTTTTATAGTATTTTCCATGGTGAAAATTGTTAATCAATTAGAATGCATGAGTTAATTTGTTGCGGTGTTCCTTTCTCAGTTAACACAGGGAATTACTTATGTGATCAGCTGCAAGCACGAAATTGAAAGATACACACACACAAGGAACAAACATTTGTGCACACACAAAGGCATGTGAATATGTGAGATGCATAATAATAACTAGTTGACATGCTTGCTGCTCTGGACAATGTTTTTGTTTGGTCTTGCCTTCATTTATTTGACAATCTGGCATGAAATTTTTATGTTATAAAACCTGGAAATGTTGTATGTCCCTTTGCTAGTCTTCAGTAAGTTGAAATTGTAATGGTATTTATTAATAGCATTTGTTTTGCAGGAAGTAGGAGAAAGAGAAGGCAAGTTTTATGCCATCAATGTCCCACTAAAAGATGGAATTGATGACGCTAGCTTCAGTAGACTTTTCAATACTGTAGGTTCAATTAAAAGCCAGATTCTTACCTTTGGTTTTGGCTTCATGTTGTTAAGTGTAAAACCTTACTTGTAAATTTAAATTTTGTAGATTATTTCCAAGGTTGTTGAGACATATCTACCAGGCGCGATAGTTCTCCAGTGTGGAGCAGATTCTCTTGCTGGAGACCGTTTGGGCTGCTTCAATCTCTCCATTGATGGTGCATATCTTATTGTAATTGAAGCACTTTTTTCTCCTCTTCTGTATTGTCTTTAAAGCACATCATCCTTTTTTTTATTTGATTGATTATTAATGGTCTCAAGCTAGCTGGTGCTTTTGGTGGTTGCTTATATGTTATGGTAAAGTTTACTCTGTCATGACATTTGCTTCTTACAGGTCATGCTGAATGTGTTAAGTTTGTGAAGAAATTCAATATACCCTTACTGGTTTGCTCTTTAACCGATTGAACCTTGGCTGCCTTTCATCAATGTCGTATATCTAGTGTACGGAGAATGTTTTCTGTCTGCAGGTTACAGGAGGTGGGGGATACACGAAAGAGAATGTTGCTCGGTGTTGGACTGTTGAAACTGGGGTTCTTCTTGATTCAGAACTTCCCAATGGTACTTTTATCAAATAACTCTTCATTTTAAACTGTGTGTAGTGGAAACAGGAACTTTATTAAAATGAGGTAATAAGGAGAAAAAGGTCCAGTCTAGGGAGGATAACCATGCTGATATGATCTTGGTTTGACAAAGGAATGCTGAAGATCTTATCATTCAATGTGTTTTATATAGACTTTGAAAGATATATCTTTTTCTTCCCTCCTTTTTTGGGGTTGCAGGAAGGAGGTATCGTAATTGACAATGATTATTTTATAGTTACATTCTTTAAGTTTGTAAAATTTCTAATGTTTCTGTTGATGTATTCATACACACCTGGGAAGGATACCAAATAACTTTTGAAAGCACTCTTATACCCGTAATACTGACAAAATCCTCACTCTGAGATTTAAGAAAACTTTTGATATCTAATTTGAAACTGTAATGATATCTTGAGATTCGTCTCCATGGAGAATTGCTGAGACTTGTTTATCCTCTTTCTTATCTTTTTTCATTTGCTTCCAAGAAGGTTTTTTCAGAATGCATTCACAGTGCTTATCTTGATTTTGATAAGGATTGTGCTAGAATAAATCAATACATTTTATGATTCAGTGATAGTTTTTGTTGTGTCCATGTTTTATATTTCAGTTTTCTTATTTAAGATCATGTGTGATAATTTTGGCTGTGTTGGGTTGATGTGCAGCTTTGTATGTGACTTGTCTTTTCTAACTGTCATGGCATTGGAGGGTTGAATGACCTATGCCATGCTGATTCCTGTGAGCATATCTTCTCGCTAACCAGCAGTGGCCTGCATGCATGATTGCTCGCAAGTAAATTCCTATAATTAGTTGTTTAATTGTTCGAGGTGTTTGATTAATATGTTGCATTAGTTTGGGTAATTAGCAATGGGCATGGCATGGAAGTTTCTCATATCTGCGTGCATTTCTATTTGTTGGTTAGCAATGACCTGCATCTTCTTGTTGGTCTCAGACTCGGGTTCTGATTTATTTTTTCCTGGCTGCCATTGCTAGATTTTTAATTGTCTTGTGTAAGGTGTATACATGGCTGTTATTGTTGCGTCTGCAACCCCACTTATCATTTGAGTGTTCTTAAATCTTTGCGTTCTTAAATCTTTTTAGTTCAGATTAATAGTTTGAGCGGTCACTTTTCTATGCATGTGGGAGTCCGTTCCAGCATGGTTTTACTCTGAATATGAATATCTTATTTGCAGAGATCCCAGATAACGAGTATATCAAGTATTTTTCTCCAGACTGCTCGTTGAGGATTCCAAGTGGGCATATAGTATGGCATTAATTAAAGTTTATATTTTGCCTTTACATTATTCAGAAAGTTGGATTTTTTTTTTAATTTTGTTTTTTAACCAATTTGATTGCCACAACTGATGTTGGTAGTCTGTAGTAGGTGGATATTAAAATGCTTCAAATTCATCATTACTAGTTTTTCAATTTTCAGTGATTCTTCTAAAATGCCTAAGTCTGTTTCTTTCTTTTGGGTAAGCAGGAGAACCTAAATAGTAAATCGTATCTCAGCACGATTAAAATACAAGTCTTGGAAAATCTGCGTTGCATCCAACATGCTCCTAGCGTACAGATGCAAGAGGTAAGCAATCGAGTAGCTGCCAATGCAGGTATCTACCATTTAACACATAAAATAAATAGGAATTCACCTTTTTTCTTGTTTAGATTAACAGTATAGCAACATAATATGTCAGACTTTTATACCATTCCTCTTACTTTACTGCGTGCAAATTATTAATCGTGACATCTTGATAGAATTATGCTCTTATATAATGTGGTTCGCTCGTTACAAGTACCATGAAGAACGAAATAAATCTAACATGCTTTCTAGAACATATAGGATTGTCCAGGCTTGAGTGACAGATCCACGAATCAGGGAGGTCTGCTAGGTCTATTAATTTGTCATTGTTTTTACCATCTCTAGATTAGAAAATGGCCAGAATATCATACTGAGATTGCATTCATGATGTAAGTTGTCATGCCCTGAGACTTGCTCTACAGATTAGTAGGATACTCAAAGAAAAGTGATTCCAATGAGTTTCCCAGATGACCCAGATTGATCCAACACAACTGGTATGAGACTCGGTGTGCACTTTCACACCAAATAGGTCTCCATTAGGGCCGATAGTCAAATCTCTAACATCCTATTCATAAATCAGACTTTTAGATGGCAGGCAGTGTCCCTGAGTCCGCATGATGGTATAGGCTGATTCTAATACCATTTATCACGATTCAACGATACATTTTCCGCATTGACATAATAGTTGAAATGGCTAGTAACTGATGAGACTTCTCGAAATGGTTTTTACATACTTAGGTCGATCAATGCAATCATTGTAGGACCGAACACATGCGCAGACACCCATATCCAAGTATATAGCATAAGTTGACTTGAATCAATGTGTTGCCTGTTGCAGGTTCCACCTGATTTCTATATTCCCGACTTTGATGAAGATGAGCAGAACCCTGATGAACGTCTGGATCGTGAGTAAAATTCCTTGAATCCTTATGCACCAACATGGATGCACTGTACTCATTAGGACTAAAAATATGTTGATTTGCATTTGGCTAATGACACTTCTTAATTTTATGAATTATTCTCCCAGAGCACACTCAAGACAAACACATTCAGCGTGACGACGAATATTATGAAGGAGACAACGATAATGATCACAACATGGAAGATATGTAAACTTAGCACAAATACCGTGTATTTTTTGGGTATATGCTATGCTATTCAGTACGGGAATATTTAACTAGGTACTAAATTATGTTAAGATGATCAAGGAACAAGAAGGAATTTGCAAATGTTCCTGTTCATATTGGTGTTAGATTTAGTGCTGTAAATTGCGTATGTTGCAAATGGTTTTCTTACCAGCAGTAATTTTATTTGACTTTGAAGACAAAAGTTGATTATTTTAATTGCCAATAATTAATAGGATTAGTTACAATGTTTACATATATTTAATATAATCCGACTGTCAACAGGGTAATTGTATTGAATACACACACACACACACACACGATGTGGGAGGTAGACCTTGAAGAAAACAATTTGAAGACCACTATAATGCATTGGAATAATAAGGCTATGTATTTTAATGACATAGGAACTTAGGGTTGAGCGAATCTTAGGTTATCTATTCCCCTCTCCTCGATACCCTTGGTTCTGTCCTGCATCAATATATATATATATATTTTTTTTGATAAAAAATATATGTAATTATTTCAGTCAAATTCATAAGTCATATGATTTGTTTCTAATCGGAAGCATCCATTAGTGAGGGAGTCCCGACATCCGTCCAAATTGAAAGACTTGGACTCCTAACCATATTGCGAACCAAATAAATGTAGGCTTGTTGTGTAGGTAAACCAAATAAATGTAAAGCATTAATTAAGTTGTAATTTAAACTTTTGGGTTGTTGTGTTTTTGTGTGCAAGTACGTAAAAATAAGAAGTAATGTTGAGGAGCCCAAAATTTTAAACCAAATGATGTGTCATTAATAAGAAATAAGCAATGTTAATCAACGCTTAAGTAATATAGGCATCCATTTTATAATTAACGCGCTAACATAAAAATCATTTTTTTAAACAAACGATATTATGTACACTAAAGGGATGAGTGAGTGGATTAAGTTTTATAATGGGCTAACAATAAGGTAATTCAAATTCGCCTTTGGTGAGAATTAAACCTAAGACCTCTCACTTACAAATACCACTAGACTGTAGTACTAAGTGTCAACACAAAAATCATTTTGGGTGCAGAAGATTTGATCTCGTGCTAATGTAGTAGTTGTCATTGGTAGCATTAAAACATAGATATGGATTCTTTAATTTTTAAGAGAAAATCATCTTTTTAAACCATATTTTATAAATTACATGAAGTAACAATAAAGTAAGACTTCATTATTAAAGAATTTAAAAAGATAGTTTCTCTAGCATTACATTTTTTTTTTTTTAAGTAGTTGGGCCATTCAATTCTTAGGTGGTTGTAGTATTTAAATAGGTATTTACTTAAGCACTATATAGTGGTGAATGTATAAATGTCGTACCATAGTTTCTTTCAATATATTAAAAAAATTATATTGCCAAATCATATTTTGTAAAACATATGATATGACTGTTATAGTTGATTTTTTCTTAATTTCCTAATAAGGAATCCAATCACCATGCGATTAATGGTTGATTTTTTATTCAAACTATCAATTAGGGACTTAAATGAATTTTTTGTGTTCCTAAAAGAATATTGCTTCCAATGGGAAAGTCCTTATAATAGAATTCCTTAAATTTGAGGTTTTTTACGATTTTGTTTGATCATTTGATTAGTTGCAAATTTTTTGTTTATGTTAACTTCTTTTTTTTAATTAGATTAACATTACTTTGTTGTAAAATATTTTTGTGAACATTTTGATAAAAAAAAAATTCAAATTCTGATACCAAATATTTATTTATTTATTTATTTATTTCACAAAAATTGTAACTAGAATAGCCATATTATTGGATTATGTCATGCCTACGACATGGCTCCATTATTGGATTATGTCATGATCATCTATTTTTGGTCCATATAAGATTTCAACTCTTTGCAACCATTGGATGAGATTTTCTTATCTCAATTTTATCCGTCGGATTGTTATTTATCTTTTTATCCTCTCACTATAAAAATGATGTCTTTATCTCTCGCACATTCATCCTATTAAACTGTGAGGTGGTGGGAGTCCATAGAGAGTCTCGTTATCATTTCTATTTTGTAAAATACATGATGTGACAATTGATAATTGATTCTTTCTTAGTATTCAAATAAATCACCATGTGATTGATGGTTGATTTTTTTTTGGGTAAAGTACAAAAAACAACCTCAATTATTGGGGTTGATGGTTTTCAAATTTTTTTTTTCTTCCTCCTTCTCCTTTTTTTCCTCTTCTCCTTCTCCTTCTCCTTCTCCTTCTCCTTCTTCTTCCGCAGGGGGGGTTGGTGGGTTTTCAAATTTTTTTTTTTCCTCCTCCTTTTCTTCCTCTTCTTCCTCCTTCTCCTTCTCCTTTTCCTTCTTCTTCTTCCGCGCGCGCCCTTCCTCCTTCTCCTTCTCCTTCTCCTTCTTTTTCTTCCTCTTCTTCCTCCTTCTCCTTCTCCTTTTCCTTCTTCTTCTTCCGCGCGCGCGCCCTTCCTCCTTCTCCTTTTTTTTTCCTCTTCTTCTTCTTCTTCTTCCTCCTTCTCCTTCTTCTTCTTCCGCAAGGTGGGGTTGATGGGTTTTCAAATTTTTTTTTTCTTTTTTCTTTTTTTGGGGTTTGCAGGTGGGGGAAGACGATGAAGATGGGGAGGAGGGGGGGAGGGGAAGGGGAGGGAGGAGCTGATGGTTATTTTTTTACTTTTTACTATTATTTTAATATTTAAAAATATTAAATAATTTTTTTTTAGTTTTTAATAATATTTTAATGATTTTTTTAATAGAAAGTGGGTCCCGAATCAAACCACGTCAGCATTTAACTGAAAAGTAAACGGCCAAGTAACGGAAGGTATAACATTGGACCAAATTCTAAAGATGAGTTATGAAATTGTCAATTTTAATGTCACATCCCGGCTGGGGCGGGCCACTTCTCGGACCCGCTCCACCACCATAGCACAATATTGTCCGCTTTGGGCCCCCAGCACGCCCTCACGGTTTTGTTTCTGGGAACTCACACGAGAACTTCCCGATGGGTCACCCATCCTGGGAGTGCTCTCGCGCGCTACTCGCTTAATTTCGGAGTTCCCATGGAACCCGAAGCCAGTGAGCTTCCAAAAGGCCTCGTTCAAGGTAAGGATGAGAATATACATATAAGGATCACTCCCCTAGGCGATGTGGGATGTCACATTTAAAAGATGAGGTATGAAAGCGTCGTGACACCAATAGTTGAGGTAGTTTTTTGTACTGTAACCTTTTTTTTTATTTATTATTAAAACACATAATATCTCGTTGATACTTAATTTTTTCCTAATAATAAAGAATCCAACCACCATGCGGTTGATAGTTGATTTTTTTGTTAATGATTCAATTAAAAATTCAACTAACCACCCATGTCATATCTCTACTAATTAATAAAACACTCATTGTCAACCAAAACTTTATGAAATCACCAGTTTAACCTTTAATTAAAACAAAACATGAATAAGAAATATGGGGCAGAAATGTAATTTCACACAACCAAATTTTGCTATTTTTTTAAAACCTCAGCTGCATGTAATTGTAACATCCCACATTGCCTAGGGGAGTGATCCTTATATGTATATTCTCATCCCTACCTAGCACGACGCCTTTTGGGAGCTCACTGGCTTCGGGTTCCGTAGGAACTCCAAAGTTAAGCGAGAAGAGGGCTAGAGCAATCCTATGATGGGTGACCCACTGGGAAGTTACTCGTGAGTTCCCAAAAACAAAATTGTGAAGGAATGGTAAGCCCAAAGCGGGACAATATCGTGCTACGGTGGTGGAACGAGCTCAGGAAGTGATTCGTCCTCGGGCCGGAATGTGACAATATGGTATCAGAGCCTATCCCTGGTCGGAAGTGTGCCGACGAGGACGTCGGGCCCCTAAGGGGGGTGGATTGTAACATCCCACATCGCCCAGGGGAGTGATCCTTATATGTATATTCCCATCCTTACCTAGCACGAGGCCTTTTGGGAGCTCACTGGCTTCGGGTTCCGTAGGAACTCCGAAGTTAAGCGATAAGGGGGCTAGAGCAATCCCATGATGGGTGACCCACTGGGAAGTTGCTTGTGAGTTCCTAAAAACAAAACCGTGAGGGAATGGTAAGTCCAAAGCAGACAATATCGTGCTACGGTTGTGGAGCGGGCCCGGGAAGTGATCTGCCTTTGGCGGGGATGTGACAGTAATCCTAATATATCTCTAATTATTAAAAAAAAAAAAAGTTAAAAACCTTCCAACTCCCACTTTTTCTATTACTCCCTTCCTCTCTCCTTCTATTTCAAAAATAAAAATAAAAAAATTTCTCACATACTTTGTGTGTGCTCATATGCTAGTATATACTAAAAGTAGGGAGATGGAAGAACCTCACTCCACCCCTCCTCTCTCTCCCTCCCTCCTAAGATTTTAGGAACTTAAAAAGGAAATTTTTGTGTTTCTAAAAGAATATCACTCTAATGGTACTTTGGGAATCCAACCACCACATTTTGACGACTCATGTAGGAACTTAAAAGGAAACTTTTGTGTTCCTAAAATAATATTCCCTCAAATGGGAAAGTCATAATAATAGAATCCCAAATTTGAGGTTTTTACGATTTTATGTGATAATTTGATTAGTTGCAATATTTTGTTTATGTTAACTTTTTTTTTAAATTAGATTAACATTATGTTGTTGTAAAATATTTTTGTGAACATTTCAATAAAAAAAATTCAAATTTTGGTACCAAATCTCTTTCTTCACAAAAATAGTAACTAGAATGGCTACATTATTGAATTGTGACATGGCTACATTATTAGATTATGTCATGCCTATGTCATTATCAGATATTTTTGCTCCAAATAAAATTTCAACCCCTTGCAACAATTGGATGAGATTTTCTTATCTCAATTTTATCCGTTGGATTGTTATCTATCTTTTTATCCTCTCGCTATAAAAATGATGTCTTTATCTCTTTCACATCATCCTATTTTTTGCATACATCCTTCAAACCCTCAAATTATCCTTCTCAATTACCAAACCATAATGGCACAACAAGGGTGTGATAACTCATCCCTTGACGATGACAATCAAGCTATGGTGACGACGACCAGTGCACGAGGAATGACAAAGAATTCAAGGGAAGAAAGTCACAAAGGCTAAACATGGTGGCACATCATCAAGCCAAAAACGCATTCCAAGAGATAGGGTAAGTGGTCATGAACTTCTTATGCGTCATTGCTTTGCTAACCCTCCCATGTATCCAACTGTTCATTTTCAGAGTATTGAAATATTGACACATGTAAAACTGTTGTAGGTTAGTGGAAGGAACACTGTTGCCATTCAACTTTGGTTAGTGACATTCCCACAATCATCTTTGGTGCGGATGTTACCCATCCTCAACTTGGGAAGGACAGCAGTCCGGTAATTGCCGATGTAAGTTCACTCGTAAATTCATTGTGCTAGGGAGCATTTCAGAGCATTTTGACAAGAAACTGGCCGAAAACCAGAGAGAATTGTCCTCTTCATGTAAGAATTGCTTTTGTTATGGTCAAGAAAAATGACACAATGCTCTGCTAACATTTGTCAAGAAAAATGACACAACGCTCTGCTAACATTTGGCTTGTCAATCGATGTAGGAGGGATATCTGCCACCAGTTGCTTTTGTTGTGGTACAGACTGATAAGAGTGGCAATTTTTAACTATGTTACAAATTTTAGATGCATTAAGATATAATGCATTTGATGCTTTTCCGTTTTATGCATTGAGATATTGTAAATTTGATCTTTTTTCATTTTTTGCTTTAACTATCATTACCTTGTCCGGCACTGTTGCTGACACCCATATTTGTCATCTGAGGGAGTTCGGCTTTTATCTCAACGGTCATGCTAGCATTCAGGTATTATTTGTGTTGTTGATTTAAACATGCCAGTTTCGTTTTTGCTGTAGTTTCCTTGCCCTCTTATGATGATGTATTTGTGTTCTATTCACTGCTAAATATAAAACCTTAAGTTATGGTTATAGTTCAAATTGCTATCTTCTATTCGTGTGGGGAAATAACAGGTATGCACACTACCATGTCTGTATTATGATTTTCAGTTATAAGGGAACTATCCTTATTCTTATCATAAGGCCTTATTATATCATGATGGAGGCAGATTCTCAGTTCAGACTAATAATGAGACTCTCTTAATATCTTCGAAGATATGTAGTTTGAGTGAACGCTCGATCACCAAATCATCTATATGAGGGAACAAATTTGAAACTAGCAGGTTGGTTAGTTATATGAGCCCAAATGCTAACATAGATAGAATAACCCACAATGTATAGTTAAAGCATGCAATAGGTTTCAACAAGGAGGCAATCTCTTTGAAGGGCTTCACCAAGTTGCTTGCACAGGCCCAACAACATCTATTATCTACTATCCATGCGCAAGGCTGTCTAAAAACATATGGATGCTATAAGCGAAGAAAGTGGTGGTCAGCACTGATTTAGGCATGCATGCCTCGACAAGTGAACAACTTTATGCACTTCAAGAATTGGCTTGTAGGTTTTTGTATGACAGAAAGGATATTTGTTATCATAGATATCTTAATATGTCAAAGATACTAATCTCATACAACGAACTCATTGAAGAATAGACGGCCCAAGAAAGTGAACTAGAGACGCTTTTTGTGGCGGCTTTCAGAGATAGAATCCCCCTTTAGGGTACACTTTGCAAACTACTTCCTCCTTCATTACTTTGCCAATTAAAAACTTCTACTCCACATTTCGCAATCGATGAACATCCAAGTTACCCTCAAGAAAGCAAAGAGTCTTATCCGCAACCGACATTCATAAATCTCATTTCTTGTGATGCATAATAATCATCCGATCCAAAATCACTCTATATACACTAAGATATTATTGGAAATACATCATCACCCATAGTGTGTTGAGATGGTAAAGACTGAGAAAAGTCGGACGTTCTCTCACATTCTTGAGAGGAGGGTATGTGAGACATTGATTGAATTTATATCGAGTGACTTTGGATATGATGATTATTATATCTTACATGCAATGAGATTTGTGGACTTTGTGTCTGTAGATAAGACTCTTTGCTTTTTTGATGGGAATTTTGATGTTCATCGATTATTAAGTGTGGAGGAAAAGTTTTTAATTGGTGAAGTAATGAAGGAGGAACTGGTTTGCAAAGTGTACCCTAAAAGGGATATGTACTCGAATTTCTCAAAGCCGCTACAAAAAGTGTTTCGAGTATAATTTTTTGGGTTGTCTCTTCTTCAATGGTTAGAAGCCAAGTATCTCTGCGTATTAAGATGTTTATGATAATAAATCTCCTCTTTGTCAAACAAAAACCTAGGAGCCAACTGTTGGAGTGCTACTCACTTTCTGTGACATTAAATTCTATTTGCTCACAACATCTATATGTTTTCAGATAACCCTGAACATGGATTCGCAATAGTATACAATAAATGTGATTGAGCATGTGCAAGCAAACATGATGAACTGATTACATGCTTTAACTGTATCACATGGGGTTGTTCTACTTATGTGAGCATTTGGAAATGTATGACTAACCAACACGTTGGCTTCAAATTTATTCTGCATATAGATGCTCTGGTGCTTGAGCGTCACTTAAACTACACATCTTCAAAGATATTATGGGAAAGACATCCTCACCCGTGGCGTATTGAGATAGTGGAGAGTGGAAAAAGTTAGTCTCACATTCTTGTGAGGAGGGTACACGCTACACTCGGTCAAGTTTATATCAGGTGATTTTAGATCAAATGATTATTCGTCATGGCTGTAGATGATTTCTCAGTAGGAACTTTGATGTTTGTCGACTGCAAAGTGTGGAAGTTCTTAATTGGCGGAGTGATGAAGGAGGAGCTGATTTGCAAAGTCTGTTATGGACTAGCGGAAAGAGATTTGATGATGAGTCTGAGGAGGATAACCCTCAAGAAAGTCTTTCAAGACTTGAATTATAAAACGTAACAGTACTAGCTGCATGTTCCTCAAAAAAAAAAAATTAAAATAAAAAAAACAGCTCTAGGTTGTATGAAGTGGCATTCTCAAAAAGCAATTCCAAAAGAGAAATTCCACTTCACTCACTCAAGTCCTCAGGAATGCAATGCATGTTAGGACTTTGTATAAGTTGAAGCTTAACAACCTTGTTTCGTGAAGTTTCTATGTGTGTATGTTTCACTCAATTTATCCATTGTTTCTTATTTGGCTCTTTAAGCCTTCCATTACTATTTGTGTTGTTGATTTATATATGCCAATTTTGCTTTTGCCGTAGTTTCCTTACCCTCTTCCAAGGTCATGTTTATGATTTAATTATGTGGTTTCTGATGAATGCACATTTTTACAATTTGAATCCAATAAAATGTCTTTATGGTTTCCAGTTGTTCTTTATCTAAGTGTACCCAGTTGTATTGAAGCAATTTAATTTACACATAATTTTATGTTAATGCAGAACATCGATTAGATTATGGGTCAAGCTTACAGTTTTGTAGATCAAAGATTTAAGTGTTCTACTTAGTAGGAATCTTACGCATGATAAGGAGTTAGAACTCACAAAACTTTATTATGATAAACCTTAGATAGGATAAAAACCGTAGTCTAAGGAGAAAAATGAGTACTTGGTAAGTCAAAACTAAACACATTCAGGACGCAAGTAGAACGCACACAAGGTTATGACCACATCAGGATGGGTGTCTCTGGTTAAAACCTTGTTAGGTAGCAAAAACCCAAAGCAAAAATGCTCCAAATAGTAGGGGAAAATAGTACATTAAGATCAAGTGAGTATACTTTTGGAAGCTCCCTTGTGTTTTATAAAACTTTCAAATGAGAACTACAAGCAATTCAAATCAGATAATTTATGCATACCAATTCCTTGAACAAGTTTTTGGAAAGTGGACTTCAACAGTGACTTGTAAAGAGGTCACAAGATTGTCCTGGGGACGGATCTGACTGTATAATATGTCCGCCTTCCATACTAATCCTCTCATATATGCACATTATTAATCCTAAAATGAGACACCCCGACCCTAATAATACAAGTTACAAGGTCGTAATGTGCTGGAGCCCGTGTTTGTTGTTTTCTGAAAAGAACCACCCCAGGATCCGTTACTAGAGAATCGATCACTTGCCGATAGAACCCTTATTGACTTGAGGTGTGGTGGTATAAGATCCATCGCTAGTAGTATACCCTGAAGGCTGACCCCCCTTCTTAAAAACCGTTTTACTTTCATTCCACCCCATAAACAATGCTTCCTTGATGCTATTGGCCTTGAACTTATTCTTAAATCCATTGAATTATCCTCCGCTAGTGCTTGCTTGCTTGCCTTTCGCTACCTGTTTCTCCACTTTCCTGTTATTAACTTGCTTGACCTGTGGAGCTGTGCTGAAAGTTGTCTTATAGGTAACACCATCACTAACCATCACATAAGTACACAACTTTGGATTCAAGCCCGCAATGAACTGCTTCCTCTTCTATTTTGCATTATCTCGAATACCCAGGCAATACTCCACAAGACACCGAAACTCCCATTCAAAGTCAACCACAGACATTTCCCCTTGCTCAAGAGCTAGAAATTCTCGCCTCTTGATAGCTTGAAACTCGGGACTCAGAAAATTGTTCTTGAACCGCTTCTTGAAGAGATTCTAAATCCATGATGTATTAGCAAGAATATTTTTGCTTCGTTTTCCACCAGTTCTTAGCGCTCTCCACCATGAAGAATGTAGCCGTGCTCATTTGCTAATCCTCGAGACATCTCATAACTTTGAGGACATCATCCATATGCTCTAACCAAGATTCAACTTTATCTCCAGCCCACGACCATCAATGGAGTAAGCACCATGACTCACAACAACTCCGCTTGAGTGCAACCTCTATTAGCATTGGAGATTAGTTGAGCTAATTTACTGTTGTAGCCCTGAAATAGAAGTACGTTCACGCCTAAGTGGCATAATTCTGTCAAGTAGGCATTAAATTATGTAGCACTACAACTGGCATCATTCGATGCAAACGTATGTGCATTAACTAGGCTCTAATAGCAAATTGACATACGTCGACCCCAATAACACCAGTTACAAGGTTGTAATGTGCTGGCCACCACTAAATTGATCATATGGTCTCATCGGGAGATGACATCACAAGCCAACTTAATGACGAAAGCCATCGTAAGATATTATGATGTGAAAGAGTTTAAAACAAAACATTCCTTATTACATTAGAAGTAAACTAACAAGCACTCCTAATCAACCTCCCAACTTGGGGACACATGTTCAGTGATACAATCCCATTATTATCACATCACACCAGAGCAGATAGTAGTTTCATACAAGAGTTAACATAAAACAATGTTGTGCTGTGTATAATCAAAAGTACGATCATGCAATTATTACAAACTGGATAAAACTTTAGTAAAGGAATCATCACCAAGCTCGAAGATACAAGCCTCATTACCAAGCCCACTCGTCACTCCCAGGGTTATCCTTGTTCTTGCTATGTCCTGAGGGGTTGACAAAATAAAGTGTTCATGGATCAAGTTTATCTAGTCAAACTCATTTGAACATATTAACCCCCGTTTTGAAATCACGTATATAGTCAAAAACTACATATATCTAATACTACCATAATAGTAATATGATTCATATCTCATAACTCGTCATATCAAAGAAGTAAATTACATCACATAATCAAAGTAATTCAAGTTTATAGCAAGTGAAAGGGCATCTACCTAATTGAAGGCTAGCGTCTACTAGAAATATCAATACATGCAATAAACCTACGGTCGTAGCTAGTTATACGATATGTATGATAACTATGTGGTGAAAATAAATGATCTCAAGATATCATTTGAACTAGGCTTTTTTTTAGCTATGTCTACTGGAACTCCATTTTAATATCACTTTGCCCATGTAACTCAAAACTCATCACATTACTTCCTGAAACTCAAAATTCGTTTCACTTTGATTTGTGGACTCTCTCTTCTCCTTGAAACTTATAGGTCGCGTCCTAAAACTTATGTAGGACCCAACACCCAATAAGACTATGCCATATGTGCAATAAATTTGATTATAAATCTTCATTATGCGTCAACATTCACCAATAAGAGAATATTAAGTTTAAAAGAAATTAAGAGATTACAAAATAAAAAAGAAATTGACTAACCTAGCTCACCTAAATCAAACCCACATAAGAAATTAACAAATCTATGACAATGTGAAGCGAATTTTGAGTTTTATAGATGACTTTTAAGTTTGAGGGGGCAAACTGGGATCAAAATCGAGTTCTAATGGGCAAAGTGAAACAAATTTTGAGTTTCAAGAAGTAAAATGATGACTTTTGAGTTACATGGATCAAAGTAAGATTAAAATGGAGTTCCAGATGGTGTAGCTAAAATAGGCCTTTAACTAGAAGGTGATTGTTCTGGACTGTTCTGTTCGCCGTTCAAAAGTACATGGCATAACATAACCCTCCAAGCTGACTATTTTCTCGTTGAAGTCTTTGCAGGCTAGAACCACACTTTATGGGTTGTTTTTCTGATGAAGATCTCAACTTTATCCTTAATTAGGCATCAGTTCAAATACATTCCACCATGAGCATGCATTGGTGTCCAATTTGTTGTTGAGTGTACAAAATTTGAGCTTATCAACGTGTCATCCCTGGTATACCTAAAATCCACAATCATCACGATGAAATCCGGAAAGATGATGGTGACACAGGTTGTCACTTATGTTTCACAATCATGTCTCGATCGGCTAAAATGATGGGTGTGATCGAGTAAAAATAAAACAAGTTGTTCTCTTTTGCTTGAATTACTAAATGCAAAAATTAAATGCCCCTTGAAAATCTATAAATTTGTTGTTCACGTATTTTTCAATTTGGGATTGAGTAAATATAGCAATTTTCTTCTCTACCAACCGCCCATCTACGGATAAATGTAAAGTGATAGACAAAATGGCTCTATCGATGACTAATTTAACAGAATCTTTTGTCTGACCAAAAAAAAAAAAAAAAAAACCCCTCTTGTCCTTCTCCACCTTAAGTTCATTGGATTCATTCTACTAATTGGTTGGAGTCAACATGTACTAAATTTTTAGAATAATGTGGATTAGTCGATGATGTGGTTGATGAATACTTGTTACGTGAATTATTTATTTAAAATACTCCTGATTTGTAATAGTCACGAGTAACATGCTGTTGATTGAGACGAATAATCATATATTTGTTAGAACTAATCAAATGTCAAGTATGTAATATATAACAATTGCACAATTTAATTCGAATAGAAATTTCACAAAGATAAAATATATCTCACAATATAAACAATTAATAAAATTGAATTTACAATCACAAAACACTGACTTCGTTAGGAAGATAGAAACTTGCAGTATCAATCTCCTAAAACAAAAGTTCGCCCCTACACCTATACAGTAGTTCAACGGACGTCTATCTTGCATGATACAACTATCTAATCCAAGTTCTTGCACTTGAACTTGGATTCTTGGCAAATTGGTTGTGGTGTTTATCTGTGAAGTATGGAAAAAGAAGCGATGGAAATTATTGTTCGGTTTCTGATCTTACGGCCATATTTATAATGGCATAGTGAAGCAGTTAAAGCCATTCATGTTTATCTTTAAGAATGGTTGTAACCGTTCATGTGATCAGGTTTATCCTTTCGGAAAAAACTGAATGCAAAAATCAAAAACGAAAAAAAAAAAAATGATATTTGGGTTTTTCGTCCATCTGAGCCCCAAGGCCTAAGGCCAATTTTTGACATTTAATATATGCACTGTACCCAAACCCTCCAAGTTTAAGGCCCAAGGTCCATGGCTTTGACCCAATTTCTTTCAAACCATAGTGTGGGAACACACTTATAAAGTGGATCTTCAAAAGAGGAATGGGTGATGTGGGACTAGGAAGTCCCTCGTAAACACACAAGTTCCAACAATACCTCCATCTTGTTGCCATTGTCTCCCTGACCTATGACCCATATATACGGATTAGGATTGGGAGACACCTATATTTTTTTTTTGTTCAATTTGATGTTAGATTAGTCTTGATGGGATTTGAACCCATGCCGTCATGTAAAGAGCTCAACATTATTTCACTATTGTGGTAAATGGTTACTTGCTTGAAGACACCTATTTTTTACACTAATTTTACAAACATTTTGTAAGGCCAATTCCGCACTTTACTCAATTGATCACTTATAGATCATTCTTGCAAAAAATTAGACAAATTCAAAATCGTGAAGACATTCATTTTTAGTAAAGAAAATGGATGAATACAGTTTTGCAGAAAAACACTAAAATAATTGTCATTTAATCCAACGGTCATATACTTTCGAATTTGGTGATTTTTTATAGACATGGTATTTGAGAAAATACTTAAAAGATAAACAATTCGAATTGATAAAATAACGTAAGAGTAAAACTACTTCTCTATTTTGTTCATATAGAAAGCAAAACAAGTAAAAATAATCTACAACTAATTGAAATGTGTATATTTGGCACTCGTTGAAGTTGATTTCCAATTATATTCAATTTTTTGGAAAAGCTAAACTAACATCAAATTGTTCTTCCCCACCTCTTAGTGTAAGTGTAGATAATAAAGAAAACTAATGAAAAATGTTTCAAAACTTTGAATTTTAACCAAAAGTCATCTACTAACTTTATTGAATGATAAGAACAATAAAAAGAAAAGAAAAAAATAGGAAAAAAAACTACTAAAGGAAGCGCGTGCATATATGTGAATTTGATCAATTCCTAACCAAATCCTCCTATGATTTTAATCACTCACTCACTGTTGACCAACCCCTAATTATTAATATATATAATCTTATTAATTTGTGTAAATATATTATTGGCTGCATTTATTTTAAATTTCAATTGCCTGCAGAATTGCCTCATGCATGTGAGGTGAGGAGGATGAGGGTCGAGTTGTAATGGAGTCATTTGCTGATAAAAAAAAAAAACCTAAAAATTATGTGCTCTTTGTACTAAAGACAAGGGGATTGGATTATCACTGCTCTTTAAGGGCTCCATATTTCTTCGCATTATTCCTAATTTCATGCACCAAGGTGGAGGTGGAGATTTTTCAAGAGGCAATGGGATTGGAGGAGAGTCAATTTATGGGGCAAAATTCGCAGATGAGAACTTCCACTTGAAGCATACTGACCCTGGAATATTGTCCATAGCAACTTTAAATTTTTTTTGTCCTTTTTATTAAAATTTTAGGGTTTTTCATTAAAGTTTAAGTTTTCTTTTAAAGAAAAACTAATGAAAATAGCTTGAAAACTTTGAGTTTTAACAAAAATGACAAAATAAAGGGTAAAGTGAATAGTACCAGGATTGAATTTTTAATGTAAAAATATGATTTTTCGTTAAAATGAACAGTACTTGAGATTTTTCTTTACAGTTCCATTTTTTTAATTAAATAAAATTATAGCATGACTTTTTATCCAAATCCTTTTCATAAAAGTTTTCTAAATAAAATTACCCAACAAAACCACATTATTTTGTGTAAAAAAAAAAAAAATCACATTAACTTACCGATATAATCCAAACTATAAATATAAAATTCCTCTATTTCTGGAGGAAACAAAAGAAGGGGCGTGAAGTCGGCGTTATTGCAAAAGCTCTGACATTCATGGTTCGTTGCGTATGAATACTATCGTCGTTTTGGTGCCAAGCTCGACAAAACTCTCCCGTTTTGGTGTTGGGGCTCTGAGGTAAGATGCGAAAACAGTATAAATTTATGCAAAATTGAAAATTCAATACAACAATCCAAATTTGTTGGTTTTGGAAATTGAACTTCTTCCCCTTTGCCTTTTTTTTTTTTTTTTTTTATGCTTTTTGAGCTTTGTTTATGTGATTGATTGGAGATTGGAGATTCAATCAATCACATAAACAAATTTGTTGGTTTTCATGCTGTTGAAAATTCAATACAACAATCCAAATTTGATAATAGTATTTTGTAAACCTTAGAGCCCCTTTGGTAACCATTTCGTTTTCAGTTTTTGGCTCGAGTTTGGCGGAACAGATTGAATTAGCAATGTTGGGCAAGTTTAATTTCAGTAGTTAATGAGTTTAAGATAATGTATTGATGTAGGTCCGTTAATTGAGACAAGGGGTGTTGAATATCGAATATATTAGTCGAGGTTTCGTCCTTGGAGGTGTGAAATTCAGGTTTTTGGAGTAGTTAGTTGTATACTTTGTGCCCAATGGCTACTTCGGAAGTTGTTCGACAAGTTATGTCTGGGGAATTACCTCGAATGGCCTGTTTTGATATATGTTTGAGCAATATGAATGGAGTTGTTTCTGTTAAGCCCGGTGTTAATAATGGACGGAAAATAAGTTCATTGAGTGCCCAAGTGCATAAAAGTTCGAGAGTTTTGAGGGACCGCAGGAGGATATGTGTGTTGCAGGGGAGAAATGATGTTTTTCATGGAAAGGATCGTGTCTGTAGGTTGGATTCAATGAGTTGCAAATGTCAACAGGCAGAAAGTTTAACTAGTCCAGATATTGATGAATTCAAGGTGGATCAACAACCGAATCAGGAAGCGGGAGGTTTTGGGTCAAATACCAAACCAACTGCAGCTAGAAAAAAGAAAGGTTCTCCACGGAAGTCTAAGGCTGATTTGATTGAGGAGGAAGCATGGACCTTACTAAAGAACTCCATGGTCTATTATTGTAACAATCCTGTTGGAACCATTGCCGCTAATGATCCAAGCTCTCCTAGTACCCTTAACTATGATCAGGTCTTTATTCGTGACTTCATACCTTCTGGGATAGCTTTCCTTTTAAAGGGGGAGTATGATATTGTGCGGAACTTCATTCTTCATACTCTTCAGTTGCAGGTAAATTATTCTCTTATTTGAGTGCCAAATCCACAAACGGTTGTTTTTAAGTTTGACTTAGGCTCATTTGATATTCTTTTAGATCATTTGGTTCCATACATTGTGTTTTTGTCCACTTTTTTCTTGGCCATGTTTACTTAGAAAGTTGTTATAGTTTGATTCCCACCTTAATATAACCAAAACATTTCCTTGTGTTAGTTACGTATTTATCTTGTCATTAATAAGAAGTTTGTTTAAAGTTTACACACCAAATGTTTATCTGCATAAGCTTGTAAGATCTTAGTGTTGAATAATATGGAAAACAAACACTTCTGAAAAATTCATGCTTAGAAAGGGCCTGTTTGTGGCAGATATCTGGAAACATGAATTCTGTTACAGATGCTGACTTTCATTGTATGTAGTTTTATTCATTTCTGCCATTCTTTTGAATTTTTTCGTTTAATCGGCCAACTTCTTCTAGTGAATTACACTCCTTTTAAGTTTAAATTGTTCTTGTCTGTTGAGTGAATCATCCTCCTTTTTCCATTGCAGAGCTGGGAGAAAACCATGGATTGTTATAGTCCTGGTCAAGGACTAATGCCTGCCAGTTTCAAGGTTCGCACTGTTCCACTCGATGGTGATGAGTTTGCAACTGAAGATGTATTGGATCCTGACTTTGGTGAAGCTGCTATTGGTCGTGTTGCCCCAGTTGACTCTGGTAGGAAGTTCGTTCTATTTTTTAAATAGTCTTTGAAATTAAATCTAGTTTTTGATTGTTTATGATCCAAACCGATAGGGAGGCACTCTCATTTTAATATTTTTTGTAATTCAAGTATGTCACATCAGTTAATAAATCTTTGGCTTTTGATCTTTTTGTAGGGTTATGGTGGATAATATTGTTACGAGCTTATGGAAAGTGCTCCAGAGATCTTTCAGTGCAGGAAAGAGTTGATGTGCAAACAGGGATAAAAATGATTTTAAAGCTATGTCTTGCTGATGGTTTTGATATGTTTCCAACATTATTGGTTACAGATGGTTCTTGCATGATAGATCGCCGCATGGGAATTCATGGCCATCCTTTGGAGATTCAGGTATATACCTTTTATGGATTGGTGGTTATAAGTGCATTTCAAATGAATTCTTTTATCTAGTTATGTGCATGTCATTTTCTTGCTTATTTCTAGTGAATACTGTGAGCAATCCCTCCTTAAACTTTGCAAGTCATTAGAGTGTGTTCCCCTTCCCCTCTTCTTTTTCTATCTTTTAGTTTCTCCGTTATTTAAAAAGTTAGCGTTCCTTCCCTTGGGCTTGTCTCATCTGCATATCGTTTTGCTTGTCACCCCTAAGATTAAGCACATTCAGGAACTGCCTGAGTAGCTTAAAGTTTCATTTCATATAAACTAATAAATGTATTTTACTGGTACAATCACAAGGTGCAATATTCTGAATCATACCAAATACCTGTTCACTATTGCTTTCCATCCTTTTAAGTTTCCCCATAGCAATATGTTTTGGGTATATCGTTGTAGTCATCAGATAGATTTCAAAACATTGTTTGGTGATTACATCACCTGATCTCGTGCTTATATCTGATTGGTGGCTGCAGTCATTTACCCCTATTTTAAATAAGGCTTTTTTAGTCCCTAACAATGAAAATCGATATAAGTGGTCCTAAGTTTGTTCACTGAAACCACCTTTTTAAGGTTATTTTTGTCTTAACAATGATGTTGACAGATTTTTCATGGAATGACCAAAATGATTTACAGTGGACAAACTCAGGGACCACTTTTATCGATTTTCAATGTCAGGGATGAAAAGTTATGCTAATATCAAGGATCATTTTGGCTAAAAAGCCTTTAAATATATACTCTATGATCAATTTTGTGAAATAATTGTTATTTGTTCTTTCTCCAGCCAACAATCAATTGTGTGTTAAATTTAAATCAATCAAAGTTATTCTGTACTGTTATAATTGCAAGTTAATATCACAGTTGGAGATAGTGGAATTAATAGTCTTCTTAGGCGGAGGGAAAAGTTTTAATTGGGTACAGAAGCTTGTCTTTTAGTTTAAAATCTCTGTGGCATCATTGGTTCGATGTCTCATGTCACTGTTTCCTGTCCTTGTAGGCACTGTTTTATTCAGCATTACTTTGTGTGCGTGAGATGCTTGCTCCAGAGGAAGCATCAGCGGACCTTGTGCGAGCACTTAACAACCGTCTGGTTGCGTTGTCCTTCCATATCAGGGAATATTACTGGATTGATATGAGAAAACTCAATGAAATTTACCGATACAAGACAGAGGAATACTCGTACGATGCTGTTAATAAGTTCAATATTTACCCAGATCAGATTCCGTCGTGGCTGGTGGGATTTATGCCCAGTACTGGCGGGTACTTGATTGGAAACCTGCAGCCTGCTCACATGGACTTTCGTTTCTTTTCTCTTGGAAACTTATGGTCTATTGTAAGTAGTCTCGCAACAGACTTGCAGTCACATGCTATTCTGGATCTTATTGACGCAAAATGGGATGAATTAGTGGCAGATATGCCGTTTAAAATATGTTACCCTGCTCTTGAAGGCCAGGAATGGCAAATCATCACCGGCAGCGATCCCAAAAACACGTAATGATTCTGTCCTAGATTTTTGAAATTTCCTCTCCATGTTTCCTGACACCTCCTTTATATGATTTTATGTTGTAGTCCCTGGTCTTACCATAATGGAGGTTCTTGGCCAACGTTGCTCTGGCAGGTAAATTTTTGTTTGAAAGTGAATGCTTTTTTTCCCAATTGCCCTCGGCCTTGCTTCGTACTCTTTGATAATAGATAACTCCAGATTATCCCTGTTCTATGTGAGTTCAGTATTGCAATTGGTAACTTTATTACATAAAACGACTCTGTTTTTGGTACTGATTTCACCGTTATGTCACTCTGACACTTCCCTTCCTTCTGTATATGCGTGTCTGAGCCTATAAGCACACTTAAAAGTGAGTAGTTTTAGTTCAAAATTATGTGGAGTGGAGAACCTATGATTAGTTCAAGTAGATGAAAGGTTGTCTTTTTGGGAGCAGTACGATTTGAGATTGCTGCCTAGTACTATAGACTATAGAGCATGAATATAATGATAAAAGAAAAAGTTGGAAATGCAAATAAAGCAGATTGCGAGATCGCTGCCTCATGACAAGTTACTTATCTTTCTTTAAGATATAGTTTCCGGCCACTACTTCATATGAAACGGTGCAAACCAGGTTCCCATTGCTGTGAATTGGCTAGTCTGCCCACTTACAGGGAGGAAGGGCTTGTTAGGGGAAAAAACAGAAGAGCCAAGCATTTTTCTCTCTAAAATCTGAAATTAAAGAAATGCGATTTGTGTGATTAACTGTGCAGGATCCTTGAATGTGTTGAAAAGAATGCAAAAGTTCCCTATTATTCCATTAGCATTTGGCAGTGACTGATTATTTGTGTGATTTAACACGATTATGGGGCTTGTTTCAGCTCACGGTGGCATGCATAAAGCTTAACAGACCAGAAATTGCAGCGAAGGCTGTCGAGATTGCTGAGAAGCGCATATCTATTGACAAGTGGCCTGAATATTACGACACCAAGCGAGCAAGATTTATTGGAAAGCAGGCACAGCTGTATCAAACTTGGTCGGTTGCTGGATACCTTGTGGCAAAGCTTCTCCTTGCCAACCCAAGTGCAGCAAAGAATCTTGTGAATGAAGAGGATTCAGAGCTTATAAATGCATTCTCGTGCATGATAAGTGCCAGTCCAAGAAGGAAACGTGGTTGGAAAAAACAGATTTTAGTATGAAGCAAAGTGGATCTGACGGAGAATTCAAGTCTCAAACATTTCTATAGTGAACTATGCAGCTGATAACAAATTGAAGCACGAACTGTATTATCACTACATTCACTTTGATACGGCCTTTTTTTTTTTTAACGTAGTCATAGTTTTCATACAGTAAAGAGTTGTCAAAATGATGATCTTGTGTTCAAGTAACATTCAACATACCCTTTTGTTTTGAATTGAATTCAATCTTGCTCGGTGTACCTGGTAATTAGATACACATGGAAGCGGTGATTTTTATTTTAACGATTGATAATCTACACAAAATTCATCTAAACCCCAATTGTTGTAAGGTAGAGTAGTTTAGAACGTAGTCGTGTCAAATATATGATTTAAAATTAGGTTCTTGTTACCTCGTGGTAACCAAAGGTCCAGCTGAATCAATCTTGAGCTTGGAATCCAAACCCCTTTTGTTGACCAGGTCCCGGAAGAACTCTGGGGCAGCTGGGCTTCTGCAGATGTTGCCAAGGCACGCGAGAAGACGACGAAGGGTTTGATCTCCGCCACCATGGAGGGAGTAGAAACCGCCATTGGAGCTTTTCTCACAGACCCAGATGAGAAAGAGGTGATTTAGAAATTTTGCTACTCCACTGCGCAGTGCCTTCATTTTTGTCCAGGGAGTGTGGAGAAAAGCGCGACGTTGGATTTGGTAGTGGAAAAGTCAAAAGTGCTTCTGGCTATGGAGTTGCTTATGGGCCGAGGTTAGGAAGGAATGAACTGAGAGTGCTTTTATGCCTAAAATGGTTTGAATGGTTAAAAATGCTTTTACAGGGATAATACTTGTCTCCCTAGCCTCATTTACATGTAAAGGGGCTATTCATCATTCAAAGACGATGTAGTGTCATTTCATGGTACAAACATCATAATTAGAACTGTTCAAAATTCATTAAAGACATTTAGTCATCCATTAATCAAACAAATTGACGGTTCTTCGTATGAGGATACTACTAACAAGAGAGCAATGTCCAACCAAAAAGCAATTCCAAATTAAGCAAATCCAGATGCTGTTCCATGACAAGCTTGGAGTTTCAACAGAAAAACTTAGGCTTCTAAGCTTTAGAGTAGACTGCTGATTACATAAGAACTCTTTTAAAGGACAGTCTTGGATAATACCTTTTTTAGTTACAAAAACATTACTGAAGTGCGAAAGTGCTTCACCAAGAAGTGCTTTCAGGAGAATACATAATAAGCACTTATGCTTCTAACGAAACGTTTTGCTTCTAGCATAAGCACAAGGGATTAAAAGCGCTTCATACAGAACCACACTCTCAAACAAACTTCTCTCTCTTTGGACATGAAAGACGGATTAGAAACAACGAAAAGAACTAGCAATGGCCTGTTCGCACGAGCGTTAAACAGCTTACAACCCAGTAGAGAAGGTGTATTGATTATTGCATGTTTTTAACTTGGAAAAGAACAGCAGTAATTATACATGATTTTCTAGCGATGAGGGTACAAACTTGCATCTCTTACAGGATCATATTGTAGGAAGAGATGAAGTTCTAGCAACATGAATACACCCAAATTATACGACGAAAAGAACCAAGGAAAATGCTAATCCGATTTCCATTTCTCTCAGCTACTGTATCAGTATCCATATATCATATTCTACAACTAGCCACCAGTATTGTGTGTTACATTTAATTTACACTATAAGCTAATATTATCAGTTAAAGAAACCGAAGAGAAAATTTGGAAAAAGAACGTCACCTTTACTCCCCATATAAAAGCTTTAAAACAGGTCAAAGTCTATATGCTCTTCTATACCCTCCAACTCCTTGCAGCCTGTGCTCTCCTGTTTCTGTGAAGCAGATGGTGTACCAATTCCAATATCACCCCACTTGGGAAGCTCTGGCGGTACTGCACATCGAATCAATGCCCAATTGAGGCCTTCAAAGAAAGGATGCTGCTTGATATCTGCAGCCCCTTTCACTGATCCTAAACGATTTTCAGGGTCCTTTATTAAGAGGCCTCTGATCAGATCTCTTGCATAAAAACTCACAATAGGTGTATTTGGGAACTTGAGACTTTTCGACACAACATTGGATAATGTGTCCTCATTTCCTGACCCCTTGAAGGGTGTCTTACCATATAACAGCTCAAACAGAAAGATTCCATATGTCCACCAATCAACAGCATTCCCATGACCGTCTCCTTTAATGATCTCCGGGGCAAGGTATTCATGGGTTCCAACAAATGAGTTGGACCGGGCACTAGTAGGGCTCCACTACAAGCTGTGGCAATGGGCTGACCTGGGCAGCAAGCTCGGATTTCACTTTTCGAGATTTTGCAGCGGCGGATAAAAGTCTGGGAGTGAAGCATGGAACTTGCCAGGATGGTTGAAGGCAAAAAGGATCAATGCAGCTAGATTCTATGCATGGGCTTGACATCTTTCCTGTGCTCTCCAAGACAGGAGATGATGATTTAAGCAGCGTTGGATTGACAGCACATCTAAGTGACAAATCAAAATCTGTGAGCATGATGTGGCCGTCTTCTCGGACCAGAATATTTTCAGGTTTCAAGTCTCGATACACAACTCCTAGCATGTGTAAATACTCCAAGGCAAGGAGGACTTCAGCGACATAAAACCTGTAGAGACAGTACACAATCACTTGAAATTAGTCTAATGAACATTTAAAATACAGTTGCGATGATGTAAATAAATCATGTAGTTCTCTAAGGGCACCAGGCCAACCCTTGATTGACAATATGAGATTGTTTTGTGGATATTAGATCCCAAGTTTAAATCCCGGGAAATAAAATCTAGTTTAACATACCGAACATGTATACAAGTGGCCAGAGCATGTTATCTAGTGTAATCCTCACTGCTAGGTCTAATATACTTTAACCATTCTGACAAGATGATTTTGGAAACTCAAGGAGAAAAAGGAAAAGTAACATAGAGTATGAGCTAGTATCAAACAACTATCAAAATGAATTTTTCCAGAAATGGAAAATTAGGAAGACAACAAACATGTAACCTACTAAATAATAATGTCAAATGTATCCATTTGATTGTCTTCCGCAGCTAAAAAAAAAGCAAAGGCACAGTTAACTATAAGTGGACCTTAAAGAAGAAAAGGTACCTGGCTGCTTGTTCACAGAAACTCCTGCCAGGTTGCTTTTGCCGCAGCACGTGCAGATCCCCACCAGGACAATACTCCATAACCAAACATGAGAGGTTATCTGACACACAATGGGAATATAGTGTGGGAAGAAATGGATGATCCAGCATTTCCAGTATCTCTCTTTCTGTTTGGGCCCTGATCATTTTCTTCCTGGTAGCCAAAAACTCATTGTCCATCACTTTCAAAGCAAATACACAATTTGTTCCAGTTAGCTCAGCAAGATAAACAGTCCCAATGTCCCCAGAACCGATTCTCCTAAGCAACTTAAAGTGCTTCAAACCTAAGCTTCCATGCTGCTTCTGGACGTGATGGATGGCTTCCCATCTCAAGTCTCTTGACATGTGTGGCCTCTTGCCGCTACGACCAGACCCACTTAGACTGCTCTCCTCACTAGTGCATGTAGTGCTGCTACCGTCACCAATGCTACTTTTTGAGCTTTGTGAGAAATCCCCGTTTTCCTTTGATCTTGACCTCTCATCAACTTTTGTCACTGCAGAGTTAATCCTACTACTGTAATTAGAAGCGAAATCCAGTGTGCTTGTACCTCTGTTAACAATACCTGAATTCAATTCTTTGCTAAGACTTGTACTGCTTGATGCCAGAGATATTTCTCATTTCCTTTCCCTTCATGCTTTGGAGTACAGTTGTGTCTCTGGTCCTTTAACTTGCTAGTACTAGAGCACGAATCACTATCAACTTGTCGGTTATCTGATTTGGAACTACTAGAGCCAGAACTTGAATCCTGCTTGACAGTTTTCTTAACCACGTTTTTGCTCCTGAGAACCGGCTTGATTAGATGTGAACTACTGCCAGATGATTTGCCTACCTTACTACCAGCGCTAGAGCCAGATGGAGAAGCAGCAGAGTGCAGCCCCTTGTTTGAATTTGAAGAATTAATTGAAACATCAGTGGAGATAGAAGCAACCGCACCCCTCTGCATGACTTTCTTACCATGATGAAAGTGGAATGAAGATTCTGCTGATTCCGGTTCTCTATCTTCTCCCTTCGATATATCACCTTTAACTGCTGATGAAAAAGGAGTAATTTGATCATGCAGTGCTAAATCTGGTCTTACTAGCATCAGGGCATCAGTCCAGCTCCCAAAGTTCTGGCAGTATCAACCTGTGTCTCTGATTGCATGGATCCAGGATTGTTTTCAGAATTTTTGGATGTTTCAGGCACAAGGGACACCTCTACATAATTCCCTTTACCTTCAGTCATAGGTATGCCAGGCCCGTTGGCCTCGGCTACCACTGTGCCGTACAACCTTTTGATAGTTCCTGCTTCTGAAACTCCTGATGAACGACCTGGCCTCGGTAGCCGCTTCATGGCAGCCAACTCTGATGCCTGAGTGATGCACAATCCTCTAAGTGCTTGCTTCAAACTCACAGGCTCTGAAATTCCGATACCTGATGTATTTGATGAACCAACTCTCATTGGCCTTTTCATAGCACTCTTCCTCAAAGCGTCTTTGCTAGCCTCATGCGACAAACCTGATATCCTAGCAGACTTTCTACCATCAATTGCCTGAAAAAGCTGATTAATATCATCCTCGATCGAATATTTATTTCCTAATTTTAGCATGCTGTGTTTTCCACCTTTCTCGTCCATTTTGGACTCCGAGTGGAGCTCTTCTCTTGATTCAACAATTTCACACGTAGAGTGCAATGTACTCATTTTTCATGAACCAGATGAAATACAGCAGACGATGTTATGTCCTTACAAATTCAAACTAACCCACTTCTGACGAAGCATTGTGAAGATACCGCAGCACAGAAATAGGAAATAGAGCTACATATCTTCTCAAGTTTGCTAGAACCATACTGATTTGCAGACTGAAATGGCCCACTACGATCCCCTTACTCAGTGCAAAAGGAAGCATCCAAGGCAGGCCATGATTGCTGCATTGCAGTTAATATCAAACTCATCAAATTTCTATTTTCGTAACATATCAGCCATGTCTATGCTTTATCCACGCAATACTACAATTAGCATAAACACTAAATGGAAATTGAGAGGTAAAGGGAAACGTTAACTGGTGTTACTCTAACCTCAATTAATGAAAGATATGGAAT